CACTAAGACCACGACCTTATCATGAGTGATCAAAGGCAATGGAGACAAAGGGGATTGGCTCACTTTCATCACTTTGAGTATGAAGTGGGCCAACCCACCTTGTGTTCAACATAACGTCTGATTGAACACCATGCAATGTAAACAACATGTGTATCTTTCAATGCTAAAGGGGCATGCACAAGACTCAATCATGTAAGCAATGTATGCAAGACATGTTAAGGGCCCAAAACACTAAGGCTAGTCAAGGCCCTTTACACTACAACCATATTAAGCAATGCTCAAATGACCTTAACTATTCAAAACAGACCTAAGGCAGGTCAAAACAGTAGCAAAAACATGCTAGACTCACAGCATAGAGGGCAAGAAAAATATGCTCATTTGATGGCTCACAAACAAGGCATAATGGCACAACTCTTAAACACAATGAAAGAGTAATAAACATGAGAGTATGACAGAAGTTTATGCTCTGAAATTACATATCAAATGATGCCCTATCACACAAACATCACAAATATAGCATGCTAAGGGCCTTAAAACTCAAGACTAGTGAAGCCAACTATGCCATAGCTATACAAAGCAAGCCATACATGACCAAGACCACTTGGAACAAAGTTTAATCATGCTAAATCAATGCCAAAAACATGCTGGAGTGGAGCCGAAACATGCTAGAATTATAGGCTAAGACATGAAGCATGTTAGGCTAGCAAGTAGGATTTCACTACAAGTGTATGAAGCATGCAAGCGGTGACCAAACCAGCCAAAAATATAGCTATAACATGTTAAAATAAGGCCTAAAACATGCTAAGATAGGAGCTAACATAAGCTAAAATGAGACGCATAAAGCATGATGCATGTTAAGCCAATAAGTAGGATTGCACTACAAGTGTAAGATGCAAGAAACCAATGACCAAACCAACCAAAAACAGAGTCATGGCAGGTCCAAAAAGTCACAAAAACATGCTTGGACTAAGCTTCAAAAAGGGAGAAATACATGCTCATGTATTAGGCTACCAACACAAGCAAGCAAGGATATAAGGAGAGGGGATCGCCCCCTCCTATTTTGGGCCACAAGAACAACTTTTTACCATTGAAATTCCTCTAAGTTTCAGTGGTTAAAAGGCCAAGCAAGGGGTGATTCAAAAGCTTAGAGAGGTGGCTCAAGAGGCTTAACAAGCCAAAGAGCAAAAGAGGGGAATCACCCCCCTAACCACACAAGGCTCAAACCAATATTTTAAAGCATTAAAAATAGAGTTATTAAGAGGCTAAAACCAGCCTTAAAGTAGCATGCAAAGGTGGTCAAGCTCTTGATCAAAACAAAGCTTAAAAGGGACAAGTGTCTTACCCTTGAAGAACAACAACAAGACAGCAACTTCAGCAACAATTCTGAGCCAAAACCAAGTCTAAGACCTCAAAACAAGCTCCAAGGGACCTCAGCTCCAAAGTGAAGGTGTTTGAGTAGGTGTTTGTGTGCACAAGTGTGAAGAAACAACACTTTAAGGCTCAAAATAGCACAATATAGAGAGAGAGTGAGAATTCTAGTGAGAGAGGGAGATTTTTGCTCTGAAAAATCTGATCCTCTCACTAGGGGGAGGGACCTCCCCTTATATAAGCAAAGCAAGAAGAAGCTTGCTTTCCATCCCTCCATACACATGTATAGAGGATGGCTCAGTGAGCCATAATTGGCTCAAAATATCTGAGAAAATATCTGTTGAAACATGGTGGCCGGCCGGCCATCAGTGGTGGCCGACAGTGCCTCATTGATGGCCGGCAGTGCTAAATTGATGGCTGGCAATGCCAAAAAAAAGGCTGGCAGTGTACCACAAGAATCATGCTGAAAGGACCAGCACATGGTCCAAAAATGGAGTAGAAAGGACACAGGGTTTGGAAAGCTCAAACTTGTGACGTTCCACCACGAAATTCGAGTACTCGACGAGCAATCAAACTTGTCATTGGATGTACCTACAAGCCTATCCAAGTCTTGAGGACGGTAAAAAATGGGGTGTCTACAATATGATAAATGACATTTTTCACTTAAAACAGATTATAACATGAACACCAATAATTTTTTGGGTACCAAAAATAACAAGTAACATGCCACAAAGTTCTCAAGGTTATAAGCCCATTGGATCCAACATCGAACCAAGACTCATCCTCAGTGTGGCAACTCGGGCCTTTTTTCTAAGACGATCTGATTAGGTCTTTTCCTTACAATCGATGAGCACTAGAGTCATCGCTGCCCAACTCGGATCTGTTCCTTAGTGGCCACAGTCACCACACACAGTGGAATAATTTTCCTGGACTAAAATATACAGATGGTCCCGATAATCAATACAATTCAGTTTCGCAAAACATGGTAGTTCACTATTATAAACATGAGACCATAACAAATAGTTTACAGCATGTCAAGTTTACACATGTTTTGGAAAAAATTTAATTCCATTGATAATATAATAATTTATCAAAACAGTTTAGTTCTGAAACAATAATTTAATTTTCCAATAGTTTAGGATAGGGAAACATTTATAAAAATATGTAGCATGCAACTACTCACCTGAAAACGGAATAATGTTATCCTCAAATAGAGTATAAAGTTCAACTAGTGTCGTGAACCAAGTATGAAAATTACACGTCACTACTAATTTAAAAATACTAAAGAATAAGAAACTAAGTAATCCCATACTCAAGCGCACTAACACGGCTCAACCCAACTCACCATTACTCTTAAATATTACCTAAGCTCACGTTCTTCAAGATCTAAAATCACCCAAGACATGGGTTCAAATCGAAACTTAATTAAAAGTAACTTTAAGATAAAATAGAATTTTAAAGAAGTTTTCCCAATCTATTCGCTAACTTTGAAAATTACAAAACCCACTCCACGCTGTTCGAAAAATTCCAAAACCCTACAGATATCAACTAATATATCCTAAGTTTCAAACCCAAATGGTTTCACTTGATTTGTTTATCAAAATAATTATTTACAATTAATTATGCTCAAACAAATTGTTTTTTGTAGCATTTTAAAGAAATTAATGGTTCTCTTAATATACACGAGCAATCAACGCAAGGCAAAAAATGTAAGAAACTAGACTTGTAACCGGTTCTAATGACACTAATTTGATAGTTTTTGAATTTATACCCAAAGAGAACGATACTTTCAAAGTTACTGTTTTATACCAGTTTTCTGGACAGATTTGAAAGTACCAGTTAATATAGATTTTAACTCCAAAAAATTATGAGAAAATTTTAATATGTAATTAATCTACTGTAAAAATTTCAGTTCAAAATTCATTCGTTTGATATGATTCCTTGATTTTTAAAGTTTATGGTTCTGTATAAAAAAAAAAAAAAAAAAAAATTGAACTAAGAATTACATCCATTATTTCTCATCACCAACCACTGACTTGGCACCCAAACAACACACCCGTTTTTCCCATTCCTTCCCAACAACAAGCAGATTACACACATGAACCATCACAATATATAGATATAATAAAATAAGACAATACCTTAGAGTTGTTGACCACCAATGTTGCTAAAAGTTTCTCTCAAATCTCTCTTCTCTCTCTGTCTCTCTCTCTTTTTCTCCCTCATGGCTGCGGCTAACATGTGATGAACAAATAAGAAGATAGGGTTTTGTGTATATTCTATTTAATACTAGTGGTTGGGGACACCCAAAGCATGTGTAGGTCAAATAAATAAATAACATACAAAATGTTTAAATATGTTGTAAGCAACTCAAATGGTAAGACTATTATTTATCAAATTGTGATCTAGAGTTCAAGTCACACACTCTTCTGTATTTATTTTTACTTTTTTAAAATAATAAATCTTACCTCAAAATTAAAGACTTCACCATAAATTTATTTTAGGTTTTAAAATTAAAAGACCCTCCAACAATAATATTTAGTTTGCACTTAAAATATTCACAAGCAAAATATTTGAGATTGTAAAATAATTATTACTTAATTATTTATTTGATTTGTATATTCAGATTCTCATACGGAGAGCCGCCGTTGCAACGCCGTCCATGGCAGAAAGCCGGCATCGAAGACTGCTACTCCGCTGCTGCCTCTTCTTTGATCCCTTTCTCTATCTTCACTTTCTGATTGTTCATCAGTGTTTGGGTACAATATCTAAATTTGTAACTACGTATATAAATGGAAAAGGAAGGGCCAATATGCAAAATTTAATTTTTTGAGGGATAAAATTTTGAATACTGAGAGAAGTATTGCGTGAAATGGAATTGCAAGAAGATTTATGGGCAGAATTCTAAATACAAAAAAGAATCTTGAAATCAAATCATAAAAATGGTTGGTTGGCCATAAGAGAAATTGATAAAGATTTAGAAAAATTACAATTAAGTAAATTTTGTAAAAAATAATTACAGATTCATGAAAAAATATATGAGTTTAATTATTAATATTTATAAAGCTTATCATTAATTTTTAAAGCCGACCTACTTGTTCTGTCTTTCTATCAAAATGACTTTTATGCACTGTCTTGAAGTGTAATTCCATTACACATAATCTGGGATATTGAGGCCAGTGGCATGGGAAAATAGACTTAATAAGGAAAACTTCCACCAAATTTAATTGAAGTTTGAGTAAATGGGGTTAGGGATGTGAATTTTTTGAGGTTAAATGATTTTGCAGACTGCAGTGATGTTGTTCAGATAACAATTTAATGATAAATTAAACTTAGTTTTGACCCTCATGCCTTATACTTGGACCTTTTGGTTATGAATCCAAGTTAAAAAAATCCAAGATATGACGAAAAAAGATAGATAAATAGATACAGACATGGAAGTCATGCAAAAATTAAGGGAAAAGTTATGGATCATGAAAATTTTGTCATGAAAATGATCATGAAAAATTTATGATCCTTGAATTACCTTGATTAGTGCGTGATCTTTTATTCTAAGTGTAATCCAAGGATCACGAAACTTTCATGATTATTTTCATGAAAGGTTTTTCATGATACCTAACATTGTTGAAAAATTAATAACATGTGTTTTTTAAGAGTTGATAAATTTATTATCAGCCAGCAAAGCCAAGCCTTAAAGTAAACACATTCCACAGTAGACACTGACAGTGACCACCAACTCCTCTCTGTTACATTACATCGTTATATGCTATGTAATAATAATATAATGCAAATCCATTATATTCTTAGGTACCATGAATGCTGTAAGGAGGGGGTTTGGGCAAGTCCTTGACAATGCCACACAGTGGGGTGTCGTCTGGGAGGTTGTATTCGTCCCTAAGGGAGCGTGCAGGGGAGAGGACGCTAATGTAGAGCTGTTGTCCCAAGTAAAACCTCTCCCACATCTCTGACCTCATGTTCCACATTCCAGCGTTGTCCAGTGTGGTCATGATGGCTGCCCACGATCCTGGGTACACCTGGATGTTGTGCCTGCTCACCGCATCCACAAGATTGTAGTTCTTCCTCTTCTCTGGGCTCCACCTCCCGGGCTCAATTGCCACGGCAAAGAAGGAATACCCATCCAGGTGCCATGTCTGAATGGTCTTCTCATGGTTCTCTAGGATTATCTCCACGAAGTTACGGAATGTGGCATTAACGACGTTCGGGCTCAAAGCCACTTTCTTCTCAGCCTCAGCCTCAGGCTCATCTTTGATGATGTCATACTTGAACACCTTATCATGGATTCCATAGTACTCAGCGAGCTTAAGAGGGGTTGACTCATCTTTGTGAGAGACACCGTTGATGGCGTAACGAAGATTTCCGTTCACATAGCTCCTTGAGTTGACAAGCCTGATGGTACGGGTGATGTTGATCTTACCATAGTGGTAGGAGCCCTGAGGGTTTGGGCGGGCAGCACTGGCTGTCAAGTTCCAGCGGAATGAGCGAAACTGGTTAATGGACCAAGCAATGCCATTGGCAGTCTCCGGTGGGGGTGGTGGGAGCTCAGCAGAGGCTGGGCCCTTGCCATTGGCATAGCGGACGATGCCAACGGCAGTTAGTGGGTGTTTGGTGAACCTACTGGAAACAACCATGTAATAGTCCTTGGGCTCTTGGTTGGCGGTGACAAGCACTGAGAAGCACTGCCCAACATGAATGTCAAGGGAGTCGTACACATTTTGGACGGTGTGGGAACCGTCCATCTCCACCAACTTCAAGGTGTGCCCTTGGATCCTCAAGTTGAGGGAGGTTTTAAGTCCGACATTGCAAACCCTGTACCTATAGGTTTTTCCAGCCTCCATGGTGAAAAGGACGGGTTGTTGTTCGCCAACCTTGCCAGACTTGCCGTTGATCTGGATGCCATCAGGCCTGGCTAGGGTGCGACCGGAGTCTAAGAGCTTCTTAAGAGCTTTGTGACCCTTAGTATACCAATCCCCTATGATTACGCTGTAATCATCGGCGGGTGCATCAAAGGGGACGGGGATAAGATTACGACTGTGGATTTGGAGGCCACCAATGCCGCCAGATGCCCTGTGCAAGCCTGTGGTGGGGAAGTAATAGAAGCTTCCGATCTGGTCCTTGACTTGAAAGTGATAGGTATAGTTGGTACCGGGCATGATTGGGCACATGGTTCCGGGGGTACCGTCTTGCCAAGAGTTCTTCCTGTGCTGGATACCATACCAAGTTAGGAGGAAAGGCTCGTCGAGGTTGTTGAAGACGTTGACAACGATGTTATTGTTGGAGGTGCAGTTGATCTTAGGCCCCGGGAATTGACCATTGATGAGGATGCCTTCCTGAGGGACACCCAAGGGGGAGATTGTCCCATAGCTGACGTTCCACTCGAAGAACAGGTAAGGGTCCTCCGCCTGTACCCCAACCCAAAGGCACATCAACAAAGCGGTGGTTGCCACCGCCACTGTGAACGTGGACACTCTACCCATGATATATAATAAATTTATCAGACTCTGTTTTTATTTATATTTATTTATATATTCTTTCTTCCTTTCTTCTTCTTGTTATTTGTTTTGAAGAAGAAGGAAGAAGATACAAAGAAAGAAGGAAGCTAATGCTTGAGTTGTTCCGCTTACCAGGTATTCCCTTTTATAGCTGGGACTGTTACAATTATGACCTCTCAAAACTCCCGTAAACTACTCTGTGGCTCACCTTTCTTTTATGCCCCTTCCGTTGCGGCTTTCCTTTCATTTTTTCTCTCTCCTATTTTTGGTACCTTCTGTTTCATTCCCCCCTAAACTTCCTCATCTCTCTACGTGGTTTGAAATTTTCTTTTCTTTCTATATTGTGGAGTTTTACTCTTTGCGTAACACAACTTTACATAAAAATTTATAATAAGAAGACAATCATATAAGGTGTCATTTAGTATTGTTTATAATTTATCTGGTTCTTATAAAATATTAAATATGTTTATGTTTATTTTTAGTTTTAAAAAAATATTTCATACATACTTCTTTTTATGACATGTTTTGAAAATAGGGGTTAAGTTCCCTCTAGTCGGTGATAAGCGAAAGATATGGTTTACGAGTGGTGATTGCTAATGGTTGGAGATAGTGACCAGAAGTGATTGTTGGTTCAGAAGTGGTGGCCAAAAGTGGTTGACTAAAGATGGTGGCTTAAAGTGATTGTTGACTTTTGAATATATTGGTTGATAAACTGCTTGAAATTGTAGTTGTAAATCAAAGGTAAAACGCAGCGGATGAAAAATTATGGTCATACCTTTTTTTACAGAGTCTGAATTGAAAGGATCTCGTGGGTAAATCACGTGTTTCCTGAATCTGATCAATCAACCCAGCAGTGGAGTGATATTACAGAATGAATATCACCCACACAAGTCACAGTGCAAAATGGCTCTTGATCGTTGTATTTTGGGAGAGAGTCAGTATATGGGTAAAACATACGACATACGTTGTTTTTCTCTTAATCACCCATATCCTATATCATATTAGATATATAGGATAATATCTCATCTATCCATATCAGTTGATATGATAGATATGGATATCCTGAGTGGTTATCCAAGTAAGTTTTGAATTCAAATTCAAACTTACATGGATAAGGTTCAAAGAAGGGTCAAACCACATGGGCGCCCAATTTCTAACATCTCCCACTCGCACATGAGTTGGCATGACACTGCCACATCTCTATCTCAATCTTCCCAAAAAATGAACAATCTCATACTAGTCAATGCACCGTGCGACTGCTGAGAACACCTGCATGTGGGAGCTCTATACTAGAAACTCAAAATGAGCCAGCATAGAGACATCAACCTAAAAAGAATAGAAATAGTGTCTCATATACCCTAGACCTATCTAATTACACCGGTTTAAAAAACATCTCTAATCCCTAAAAAAGAGCATGTTTGACCCTCTCAATTCTTGCAATATATTCATACTCAATCCGCTTCTCATACAGCGCAATGTGAGTTGCCGGCAATGAATATACAACAGTGGTGTAATACTGGATGATCTTCCCTTTGCCCTCATGCCATTTAATTTAGGATTGACCGCTTTCCCAGTGATGTCCCTTAAGGCCGAATCATACATGACCTCAGGTAACATACCAAAGTAGCAGAACATCAACCCCTTACCTTATGGCATAATCAAAAGTCACAAAAGGGTACATAAATGAAAGTTATATCAATAATGACACGTAAGACTCACACGGTGAGAAAACAGGGATCCATTCTCTCACCTCATTACTCAGTCGCCAAGCACATATAGTATGAATACATGTTACGGTGGAGTAACTCTTCCAAAAGAGTGACGTCATCCTCGATACACCGTACAGATATTAGTTTAGTTGCTTTCTAGCGCCTAACCCGAATTCTCTATTTGTTCGCCTTCTAGGCGCCAAATGAGATCTCACATCTGGCTAATCATAACAGGCACAACATGGAAAGTGGGTACTAACGTCCATGTTTGGTCCTTAACATGACCTCATCTTGGTTGTAACCAAGGCGACATGCATAGTGGATTATTTAAGCCTCTATTGGCTCCAAAGAAAAATAAACCACTAGTCTCATCCTTGCTCGCTCCCAAGCGCCAAGGGCGATTGCTCGTGTGAGTGAGCCAATCTTGCCTACTGACATCATCATCTGCTAATCATTATGACATAAACCATAATAGTGTCAACATCCCATTATCTCAAAATATCACAGCTTGTGCAATTCTAGATTCCAAACATAAGCCTTATCAGCACCTCTTGCGATAAGTATATACAACGGAATCCACCATGTGCGCCTCACTTGAAGTGATTTAAGATCACTACCTCTTGCGCAATTACCTCTCTAAAGATATTTTGGTGACCAATTTACGTTCATTCTTAATGCGCCCAACTAGCGCATTGAATCTTACAATGAGCAAATTAATATACTACTAGTAAAACATTTTATCCACAGTCTAATGAGCAAGGTCAATGTCTAAACAACTCAGTTGACCATTTACCAAAAATAACACTTATCATGTCGAATACGCCCACATAGCGTACTTTAAGCTCCCACAACAAAGAAAAGATCAAGGAATATAGGTCATCTGTTTCTCCCAAAGACAATATGAGGATACACTCAATAGCTAAGGCTCTGGCTTTTATCGATAGGTAAGTCAATGGGTTTGCAATTTTGCATCTAGAATCATTCTAGGATATTCCTTATGTAAGTCATCGAACCAAGAATTTTCTCAAAACAATCCCTAAGGATCGTACATCCGAGCATATAAATTACATCACCTATGTCCATCATATCTAAAATAGAGGGCTGCCCACCTTAGGTGGTGACAACCTTATAAATTCCTGGCTTATAATGACTAAGTAAGGAAAAACTTCTTTTGGACCATTGATCATGCCTCAGTGGTCTTCATCGATCATCGTTGGCCTATCATGGCTTGACGAAATCTAAGAACCACTATTTGGACAACTATTTTAGGCTGTAAAAGATTTATTGAAACTAGCAACCTTTTTGCACTCTTAACTTTTCACCATAAAAGCAGAAGGTAAATCCCTACGGATCTACTTATCCAATTCTCTAACAAGAAAGTTGGGTCACAATGTCCACAAATCAATGTTCCGAACTTATGTTAATCATAGTCTAAGTAAAAAATAACCTTACTCCCCAGGAGGAAGTCTTCTCATGGTCTACACCTTCCTCAATGGTGCGACTTTTCGGTATCTAGCGAGCCTTAAATGTTTCCTAATTGGGAATTGCACTAGTTTGTTACCTATATCCCTAACTAAGTGCCCTCCATATCAGATTTTACACTCCATTTTGAGTAATGGGTTAGCAGAGAGCCATCTATGGGCGATCTGTAACCGTTAAGCAGCTTATCTTTATTTTATTTCTCATAAGATTGCGAAGTTAAGACTTAGGGTTCTGTAGCGCATTATTGTATGCTGTCTTGTAAACACAAAGGGTCGTGTGGCGCATTATTGCATGCGGTCATGCAAATCCTCCAGGTTATGTGCATATAGGTAAACAGCTTTGTGGTAATGTAACTAAGTCACATAAAGTTTTCTTAGTAAAGGTGACGTGAATAGAGTTTTGGAACTCTATAAGATAGAGAATTTTAAGCATAGCGCTTTATGTAGCCTAGTTAAGAATGGAAAGAAATTTCCAATATCCTAGGGACAGTGGGAGCGATGTGCCTACTAATGGATTACTCCATTAGAGAAGAATACTTTACATTCTTAGTTGCGTGGTAGCGAATGTGAAAATTTTTCACGTCATCACTGGGTGATTAAGAGGGAAACATTCATGATTGCTCCGCAAGATGATAAAGAGCCGAGGATAATGCCAAAGGCTCTAGTCCCCTGTTTTTAGAAAGTAGATTAATGTTGCGTGGTTTAAGACAAAGTCTTTGAGGATTAACCATTTCTATAATTTGGTTGACTTTCCATTATGACGCGAAACTGTTCTAAAGTTATGCGTAATTTGGATAGTCATTGTTGAGGCATAAGGCTCGCTAGATACCGAAAAGTCGCACCATTGAGGAAAGTGTAGACTATGAGAAGACTTCCTCCTGGGGAGTGAGGTTATTTTTGTTATGGCATAATTTGAATATTAAATACAGCATATTTTTTTGGGTTTGTAATATGTTGCAATTAAAGAAGCATGATTATTTATTTATTTATTTACTTGAATTCCATTATTAAATGAATATAGCATGAGTTATTTGTAAATTTACATTAAGATATTATTGTATGGAATTTATCATGCTTTTGACATGCCATAGTTAGTGGGAGGTTGTTCGGTTGAAAGAAATCTTTGTAGATTTACTCCCAAAAATCAATATTTTGCGCATAAATTAAATTAAATTTTGGATAATTGTCACCTGTTACGCAAGAGATGATTACAAGCATAGCGGATTTTCGATCTTGCGACTTGTGTAATATTGTCACGATTTAACTTAGATTTTTGCGGAAAAATTATATTATGCTAATCAAAATTAATCCCAATACGAATTTCTCTCTAAATTGACTTAGCTTATGGAAGTTATTTGGTTGACCTAGACTTAGTAGAGATGTTCAAATGTGAACAATGTAATCCTATTCTTTAGATGAGCAAAAAGTCTTGGAGACTTTAGGTCAGACCTTAATTGAGCCAAAGTAAGGAAACATGACTCAAAGTCGCCGTGGTTTTGTTGCCTTGTTTGGCATAATAAAAACTAATGTGTGCGCTATGGTTAGCGGCACGCTACGTAGTTTTGGTTGGATAACTATGCTAGTTCTAACTGTTAGAAATTGGACGCCCATGTGACATGACCCTTTGAACTTGAACCTTTTGAACCTTATCCATATTTTTACACTCCATTTATGTAATGGGTTAGTGGAGAGCCATCTATGGGCGATCTGTAACCGTTAAGCAGCTTATCTTTATTTTACTTCTCATAAGTTTGCGAAGTTAAGACTTAGGGTTCTATAGCGCATTATTGTATGATATCTTGTAAACACATAAGGTTATGTGGTGCATTATTGTATGTTGTCATGTAAACCCTCCGGGTCATGTGCATATAGGTAAGCAGCTTTGTGGAAGTGTAACTAAGCCACATAAAG